CGATGGCGATGTCGTAGTGCCACAAGCCAGTTAGAAGCAGCACTTCCACCTCTGGAGAGAAACCTGGAGCAGTGAACAAACGCTGATCCGAGTTATCAACGTATGGCTCGAAGCCCTGCTTAGAAGTCAAGACCCGAAAGTATCCAGGAGCACGTCAAACATCAACGCTGCGAGATGAACTATATGTCTGCTTTCCGGAGGCAATTCAGCAAAAATACTGGCGGCCCCAGTTTCTTGAAGATAATGTTGTAAAGTGTCAATGTTACGAAGCCGCATTCTCCACATCAAACGAGCAATCTCTTCATTTGCTCTGTAGGCTCGTACAGCTCCGCCAGCTCTAAGTGAAGCGGGAGTCAAAGACAATCTCTGAGGAATCTTCAAGAAAGATAGCAGCAGATCCCATCGTTTCCTATAAGAAGCAAATGAACCTCCAAACAGTGGCACTGACCTATCCAGACGACCAAAAACTTTATCCAGAAAAAGTACCAAACGTAGATTGGAGATCTTCGAATGTTGTGTGGCGCCAATGCCTCGACGCCGCCCTTTTGGATTTCTGATTTGTAAATAAACCACACTAGCATCTTCCAACAGCAAGTCTCGGGGAAGAAGAAGATCTCCTCGAGTCGCAGTCAGTGGTTCACCTGGCCTGCAGATTCCTTCAAATGCCAGCATGGTCACAGCTGACCATCGATACCAGCCCCAAGACAGCGCAACGGACACCATGGCTCGGTAAACTACTAAAGGCAGGGGGGTCCTATGTCTTATAGGTTGAATTAACTCCCACTTAGACACAAGCTGCCACGCACCTCTCAAGCTTCCTCGAAAATTAGGCTTCCATCTCTGTACAAACGTGATCAGCTGACGAAGAAGATAAATGCTATGGCCTTCTTCAAAAAGAAACATTCCAAAACACTCGATCAAAAGACAAAGCGTATCTGGACAACTCACCACGGCATTGAAAGCGGCCTCAGACAAAGATTTCAAAGCCCAATTCTTAAAAGTAAACCAGATTCGTTCACCTAACAACGCGGTCTCAGGTTCCACTATATCTGCCTCCAAAAGTGTTTGCAAAACTCGTCGCGATCGGACTGCGCGTCTTGGACCAGGCTTCTTTGCTTCCCCAATCCGACCATGGTTTTGAAAACAAATTGAAGAAATGTTTAAATGCTTCCGTCCAGGCAGCAAACCAGCATCAATCAAAATGGCACTTGCAACCCAATGCACTAAACGACGAGGATAAACCTGCGCTACTCTGGTCCATGGTTTTTGATGGACTTGGCTCCAACCTACTAAACGCAAATGCTTATGAGAACGGTTGCAGAAAACAAACTGGCCTCGCAAATGCAAATCGGTGAAGAAACGGGTCCGCTTCCTCCAAGGACAGCCACAAACGCAGTAATCAAGTCGAAAACTCTTTGTCTTATCATTTGCACCTAGGGCAGTCCAGTCCGGACAGTACCACAAGAAAGAGCTATCTGGGTTTTCTACCCAAAAATGGATGCCTTTAGCTATGCACAACGAAATAATGGAGGCGAGCCAACTTGCATGATCATTTCCTTCTGAAACCTTATGTTGCATGTTTGTGGTCATAGACGCAATGCCTAAAGGTTCTTGCTTTGTTCTTACTGGAGGGCGAACTGCTCGGGAAAACGATCTGCAAAAAATAGCTGCTCCTACGGTGTGCACGGCAGATAGCTGAATGAGCTTTTGGACCAAAGTTCGGTTCGACGGCAAGCTGAGATCCTGGGCCTCACTCTCCTCAATTTCAAAAGTCAAAGCCCAAGCTTTTCCGCTCTGAACTACAGCTGAGGCGATTCCTTTCTTTCCAGAATAGAGATCAAGGTAACCAGGAAAATCAGGAACCCAATCTTTATCAACATTCCAACTTTTAGGAAAAACAAACTGTTCACGAGGCAGCGATCGAAGGAAATTCTGTGCTTCGACAGAGAGCTTCAGAAGATTCAAGCTGCTCGCACTTGGATAGGATCTGATAAGAACATCGGTTTTTGCATCTTTGGCTTCAACGGAAAAAGTGTGTGCTGAAAAATCGAACCGAGACGAACCAGCTACAACTTCCTCTTCCGGCAAAACTGTACAGTGTTTACAAAAGCTTTTCTTTACAACACTCGGTTTTGGAGAGACGGACAACATTCTTTTCTTGTGCAAAAATTCTGCTTGTCGGCAACTTCGTTTCCACATCTGACTTTCCACAAAATCTCCATCAAGTTCACTTAAATCTGGAAGTCCTGACAAGTGCCAAGGCGAACTGTTCCTAGCATCCAACCACTTATCCAATTCAGCAACCGCTTCATGAGGAGAAAATGAACTTTGTTTCTTCATCCATTCAGGCAATTCATGAACCGGTGATCGAAGAGGAACTCCACGTGTTGGATCATCCGCTGGATTCTCCTTTGAGGGCAGAAAACCAAAACTCGGGACTACAGAAGTTGACAAATGGACCGCCAAGCTTTCCTGCAGCAATGCGTTCAAACCAATTGAACTCGATCTTCCCTTCAACAAAGCTCCCAAACTGACTTGTGAATCAGCTAAAGAGAAATATCTCACTGGAAAACCTGTTTCAACAGCTGACTTCTCTGCTTCCAACATGCCTATCATTTCATCAATATTAATGCGCCTTCCAGCTTTTGTTCGTCTGCTCTTCAGTGTTTGAAACTGAAACCCTCCTGCTATCAGCGACCAGAGTGGATGAGTGGCAAAAGCTTCTCCGGCAGGCAACTCTTCAGAAGGCTCCAAAACACCTCTTTCTTTGAGCAAGGACTTTGACGGACTGAGCAACTTCGTCCATACTCTTTTACGGAGAGCATGCCGATGGACCTCTGAAGCCAGCCAGTTTGGAATGTCAGCCGAAATCACAGCCCAACCTACACTGGAAGCGTCAGAAGCGTAAACTTGGCTGGAAGTTCGGGTCCTGAGAAAGGTTGCAGCTAACGGGCACAGCGAGACGCACAGCATCAACTCTTCTTTCAAAGCTTCAGACAGCCTAATCACATCAGACTGTTTGCTGGCTCGTTGGAAAACTTCATACACCACATTAAAAATGCTGAGCATCCTTCGTCGAAAAAGAAATGCTGAAGTCCAACAACCCACCAAAACTTGAAGCAAACTGATACTGCACAAGCCCAATTTGAGAATTCCGACTGTAGCAAAAAGGATGGGAATCATTCTTTTCAGCCCTGCTCGAACATACCCACTGTCACCATCAAAGGTGGCCCCCCAAAATTCAGCATGCAAGTCATTGTAAAAAGTCTTACCATCATGTGGGATAAGACCCAAATCGGCGAACCGCCCAACTGCAGAACGAACTGTTTCCTCACTTTTCGTCATTTCTGAAGTCGAAAGAGCAGCTCTAGCGATCTTTTCAAAAGCGATGAGGTCGTCAATGACTATGCCTATAAATGAAGGGACCCTGGGAACAGACATTGACATAGTCAAAAGGTTATTTTCGCGAATCAAACCCATCTGCCTTAAAATGCCAACATGTGCTGTCTGGGCCAGTTCTACTGCACAAGTGTCGCCCATAGCGAGCGTTCGAAGTCACAGCCAAATCTTGCCAGGGTGCTGTCGAATTTCTTCAGTGCAGCAGTTCCAATCCCAAATTTCTTTGGCAGTGGTCAGAAAAAGCAAACTGTTTCTGATCAAGCGAGAATTTCCAACTTCAAAGCTATAGTAGAATTCCCTCAAATCTGTGCCTGAAACGACACAAACTTCACCAGGTTCAAGGTGTACTTCGACCAAACTGGAAGCTGCAGCCATTGATTTGATCCAACGATTTGGAGGACTCTCAAGGGTGTTGAAGGGGCGAGAATCGAATATCAGGCGGTCTTTCGATTCGTCTTTGCCAACTGCAAAAAGTCCAGCTTGGAATCCCGGGAGGACTTTTGTGTCTGGGATAGCCCCCAGACGCCCCGTGGCATCCAATTTCTGAAACAGTTTCCATAGCTCACAGGCATCTCCAAAAAGCTTCACTTGAGGAGGATCTTCCACTGCATCTTCAGGCTTTAAAGCTGCCGACAAAGGATCATCAAAAATAAAGCGGCCTTGCTTGTCAAGAAAAGGTTTTGGATCAAACTTCGGAACTCCTCGGAAATCAAGGCGGTCGGCTATGATAGGTTTGGCAACCGATCCACCACAAGATGAAGACTGACCTACAATGTCGCCTCCACCATCTGCTTGAAGCCCAGGGGCAAAAAACTTTCTGGACGCAGATCGAGAGAGAGAACTGCTGCTATCAGGCAAAGCCTCATCAAACAACTCAAAAAGGCCGGACTCGAAGGTACACAGTCTCTCAAGCGCCCGCTCGATGTTCTCTACCTTAGCCGCAGCTCTGCCCATGTTGAATGCTGTAACGGGCTCTGCATCACGCCATGCATTCATGGTTAATTCAACTTGGCGAACCACACGCCATTGCAATCTGCTCAAAGGTGCATATAGGGTGATTTCGGCAGGACAAGTCGAAGGCCTCTTTAAATGAAGCCAATTCAACATCAAAACTGCTAAATTCACTCCACATTGAAAGGATACATCATTTGAGCAAATAGGATCCACTGCTGATCGTTTCATCACTGCAGGATACGGCAACGGCATGGGCCACATGACGGCGGTAGCCTTTTCTTCGAAAGGCATAACTGGTTTGCGGAAGAAAGATCTGGCAAAGCTGGCTAAACTACCACCAACCTGCAAAACCAAACGAAAACACGAATTCCACCAGCTGGTCACTTTGAACTCGGCAGGCAAAGGCTTTGAACTCTTGGAAGTTTTTGAATGTTCATTGACATTTTTATTTGCTTTTTGAGGATTTTCTTCATGCAACTTGTTGCTGGGCTGCGCGTGGCCCAGTTGAGGATCTTTCATAATTGAGTCTGAGATGGCTCCTCTGGCGAAGCCTTTGCTTTTGACTTCGGGTTTCCTTTCTTGCCACTGCCCTTCTTCGGAGACTCCTCGGCTGCCGGAGCTGCATGTTGGGCAGCTTGAGATCTCTTGCCTAGCTTGGACCTTCTCTCGACGAACTCGTCCAGCTCTTTGACCTTGTACATGAAACTTTCTGCCCAAGCTGTTGGCCATAGACGAGTGTGCTGAGGTTCTAGGAGATCGGGAGGAGTGTGCTTTGAAAAGGAGGAGAAAGGGGGTGGATCTTCCAAACTCCCTTCCGCTGCCAGAATCCATTGTCCACGATCCACTGAAACCTGGTCGAGCTGGCACAAATAAAGTGCCAGCCTGGCTTTTGCTTCCGATACACGGCCTCTCTTCAACGCATCTAGTGCTCCTGTCACAGCCCAAACTGCACGAACAGAAGGATTCAGATTTGGAATTTTCGAACGGTGTTCCGCCCATCCTCTGAAGGTACCTGAACGAACTGGTTCGCCGGGAGCACTTTCTTGAGCACCAAAATCTGCCAACATTCGACCTTCTATCACTTTGTAAATCTCCTCCGGGGCCTCCTTCAACGACTGCCTCAAGACTTTCAACAAATAGGAGTGGCGCCGATTCGAACTGATAGAACTGCTGGATGATGACGCCTCCCCGACTGCCAACGAATCGTCTAAAAGGTCTTCGATGCTTCGGCCTTTCTTTTTCGAACTCAAATTCTGGACGATAGAAGTCAACTTCACAATGGCTGTCTGAAAGGCGGCTCCTGGATCTGCTGCCAGTGCTTCCTCGTCTATTTCTGGGACAGCTTCGTCTTCGCTTTCTCCAAGTATATTGACTGGTCCTCGGGCTCCTTTCCGCTGAGCGGGCGTGTCGGTCAACTTTGGCTTGTGAGCTGCAACCAACCTGTTGAACTCCTCCAGCTGCTTTCTGTCGATCCCAGAAATCAGAGCCGACTGAACAACCTGAGGGTCTAGAGCTTCCAAACCATCTTCTTCGGGCCTTTTGGCTTTCTCTTTGGGCTTCGGTGTCATCACAGGCGGCGCCGCTGCTACGGTGTTCCTCTGGGAAAGCAACTCCTGCAAACTGGTCTGAATTGCTACCATGCCTTCTTCGAGACGAGCAATGCGATCTAAAGCAGGATCGGAGGCTTTCTTTGCTTTGGAACTTGGATCGGATGGCTTTTCCCCATCCCCTTCGGCGCCCGACATTGCTGACAAAAATGAAAACTTCTCGTCGGCGAGGGTCACAAGGCTTTCGGCAAAGGGCACGAAACCTTCTTCTCCATCTTCTGTCATAAATTGGCAAGCTAAGGCTACTGCATAGTCGGGCTCGAAATTCAGGCATGACTCCAAAGATTTCTTGAGATATCCTACCCAAACTTTAATCTTTTGCTCAAACTCAATCACTTCTCGGTCTAAGTCTCGAACTGCAGGAACTTCAACTGAGACGGCCTTTGACAAAGCGTCTCCTGGCAAACGGCGATTGGCCTTCAGTCGATGCCAAGCTTCAAGGGGCACCGAGACTAAAAGCTGGTCAGAAATGGATGAAATGAGAATGATAGGGACACAAGGTCCTCCTGAAACTGAAAGAAACGTACCAACTGGATAATTCAAATCAGCTGAGCCGTCTTTGCGAACAACAAACGAATTGGTTGGCGAAGGCTGCGGATCAGGCGATTCAGCAATCTCGTCACCGCCCTCAGCCATTGCTTCTGCTTACTGAGGCCACTGCACTCCGGCAGCGGCAGCAACAACTCTGGCGTCGTCCAAACTGGGCAATCCGACGAAGATGGAATCTCCAGGGTGGCCGTAAGGTTTCACTTCAGGAACCAAGGCACGAAAATCCCCGAACACTCCAACTGGATCCAGCACCCGGCCTGACAGGCCACAACGGCGACCTTCGAGGCAAGCCTTAATCCAAGATCCAATCTGCAGCAAAACTCTGACACACGCCTTTCCGACTCTTAGATACGATCCAGACACTGCCTCAACTGTCACTGTTCCTCAAGCCGAAATTGAGCAGCTCGAGACGGGGCTGTGGATATCAAACGACTCGATACAAGGAGCTAGGCCGAAACAAGCTGAGCACTTGCCTACGGAGATAGCCACTCAACAAATGGCGCAACAGCACAAGGGAATCAATGACGGGCCCCAAAAACAAACCAATCAGGATACCTAGACAAATCGAAGGCAAGTCAAATCTGAAACGATCCAAAGGCAAGATCCAAGGTGATGGGCAATCGGAAAAGACAGGTTCTATGGAGTCGAGCTTTGGCAGGTCCTGGAAAAGATCACCTCGCAGCAGTTGTAGGGCTAAAGTCAGCACTGACCCCCCTGCAGCTGAAAGAGCTAAGGGGCTTCGAGACATATACCTTGACCCTCAAATTGCTGCACCACCATGTCGTAAAACATGTGAAGCATATATATATATATATACAACTATATATATATATACAGCTTGTACTCTGAGAGCCCCACTTACCTTTGACTGGGATGGTGTTGGGTCACAGCTGCAGGTCTACATCTACAGTCGCTGATTGCACAGGCTGAGCTGCTGACGATCCCATCGAGTTGATCACCAAGGCCTTCCTCCAGCATCCTAGCCATTCAACCCAAAGGTGCGTTTGGAACAAATATATATATATAATATATACAGTATATAGTTATAGTTCTGCGTCTCACACACTTACAGTAGTCGCGATGGTCGAGGTGATTGAGCTTGTGAGCTCAGGAAGCTAGCAAGGCTGCCTGCTATCCTTCTACCCCAGTCTTGTCATTCAATGGAATCGAATTCACCAGCAGGTTTCTGAGACACCAAAACAATGTGGGTCGCATTCTTGGCAAAACGTTGCTGTTCAACGTGAAAAAAGCTCTTCTCGTCATCCTGCAAAGCCTCACCTTACATACCGTCCAGGGGGAATCTGTAGCTGACCTAGCAACATCGAGGTTCGCTAACTTAGACAGCCACAGATTCGCACGTCATCAACTCCATGATGGACGTGTCGGTCCTATCACCCTCATCCAGCACCAAAACTCGCACTGTTGCCAGTGGCTCCCGGCCTGACAAATACAAACACACAACATGCAACCATTGTACAGTTGTCAATATCAAGAAATGTTCTTCCTCGGCGTCGTGTGGTGATGATGTGTTCGGTATCTGTTACTGTATCACACTGTATCTTGTTTGTCAGGTTCTAAACAGACCCTCCAGCATCTGAGGATTTCCAAGTAGACTGCCTTCCACCTCCTCCTCACATATCAGGTCTAGCAATCGACCAGGCGTTGCAGCGATGATCCAGCTTCCTCCACCTGCCAACCCGGCATTCAAGTGCAGCGCGGTATTCCATTTGACTCCTCCAGGAAAAACAGACTTGATGCATTGGCATTGGCATTGGGTTGTATTGAAGACAACATGACCCCGCACAAGGTGTCAAAATATCACTTTTTCATTGAGGCACCGGGAATCTCCGACACGCCGTACCGCAGCTGCCGTTGCTGTTGTTTGCGCTTCTGGCGCGTGCTTCCTCCCCAAAAGGAAACTACAGATATCTGCCGCCTCGGTGGACACATGACACAGGAAGACTACCCCCAACAGGAAGACTTGCTGCACCAAATGATGGAAGTTCCAATGTCAGCTTCTATGGCCAAGATGCGAACTGTTAGCGCACACTCCTTTTTGGGAGAGACGCTAACAACAAGTAAGCGCAAATTGGCACTATTTGCAAACCAACACAATCGAGATGTGTTCTTCTACAAAAGAATGAGAGAGCACTATGTAGACTTCACAGCCTCAAGTGAAACCAGTGACCAAAAGGACAGAGATTGTAAGAGGCAGCCTTTTGACTTTTGCATACTTTTGCCAAGTAACCCTAACTGATCTTCTCCATCGCCCTGGGAGTCAAAATCAAACCACAAGCTTGTGCGTGAAATACAGTCATAGTCATAGAGTCATGAGGCTATCAGAGGTCGCTATATGATGTCGTCGTGGTCACTTAAATGGCAAAGGCCCTCAACTCCACTCCCAGCTTGGCCAGGTGGAAAATAACATAATATCTACATAGAATAATGATGTTTGTTTTCAATCATGGTGGTGTTCAAAAATTCAAGTTGTGATAGTTTCAGCGCTCAGTTAGAGTTAGGGCTGATGGACAGGTTAGCGAAGAATTTCAGTTGTATAAACTTGATCTTGATCTTGGAGTCTCGGAGTTGATCTTATTCAATCTTCCCAGCCTCCGCCAACACATCACTGGCGCAAGCTGCCACTTGCAGTGCCAATTCCTAGACATGCAACAAAAAAACAGAGCCGAGGTGTACCGCGCATATCACGTTCATTCACTCTCCCGATCAAAAGGTCGGGGAGCTCAAAGTGTCCGTCCAAAGAAAATGCAAAGTAGGAACTGAGCTGTCTTTTAAGACATGCACTTGACACTCGCAATTTGTGCCTACAGTGTTGCAAATAGTTTTCCGTTGTAAACGCCCATCATTTGTAAATGCATGTACATCATGGCTCTACTTTCTTTCAGAAACAGGAGAATGAAAAAGATCCAAGGGCCAGGCTCTTGTTGGCAGCAGGATGAGTCCAAAAGGCCCACAGGTTTCTGGGTTGGAAGACAGCAGTCGCAGCAACATCGGTAGGAGATATGCCAGCGTCCTTAGTGACATGGCCCTGCTCCCACACAAAAAACACAACCCTGCTCTGCCCAGAAAATGAAAGAAAAACTCATGGAGACGGCTTGGCCATCAAGACACCTCATTGCTTGAAAGGCATGCTTTGGCTGCGCTACCCGATCCATAAGCGGATACATGCAAATACACCATTCCTCTTCCGCACAGTGATGGGCTTATCACAATCTTGGAAGAGAACAACAGTACTGCACCAAGCGGTGCCAAGTCACTTTCCGCTGCCGGTTGCCGCCACCCCAACTAGGTCCTGACCAGTCATTGCCAAAGGCAACGCTGCCCGCTGGATGGGTGACATGATACGAAAACCTCAGAGCAAAGGCAGTTGCAAAAGCCTGGAAGTTGCAATCACCAGTATCTTTTTCTTGTGGTGTTGCAGCCTGACGTTGCAACAACATGTTGGGTAAACGGGGGGTTGCCCCAGCTGCAACATGCAGAGGGTCAGAAAACACTGCGCCTGAAGGGGTTTTTGGCATTTTTGGTGCTTTGGGACACTCAACTTATCGTCTTGGAGTTAGTGAGCTCCAAGGCGATAAGTTGAGTGCACTTTGAAGACCATTCAAAGGCCACTCTGTCAAGTCGTGGAGTCTTTCCCGTCCTCCCACCTGGTCGATGATCTGCAACTCAAGGAACCGTTTGTTTCTTCAGTCCTCTTCCCAATTGAGCCATGACAGCTCACTGTACATTTGAGCTGGCGGACAAGTGTCTTGCACAGCCTCTCTGTGTATTCTCACAGCCTCTAGCATTGAGTCCAACCCTGAATGTTGGCTGAACCACAAAGCTGCGAGGCCTTCAACGTGCTCTCGTTGCGTGACGACGTCGGTCCTGAAACGCGATGTTTGGTTTGCGCAACGAGTAACACGAACGAAACTGTCCCCAGCCCCCGCACCCCCACCCCCTCAAAACCCTGTTCGCTAGTCGGAAACGTTTGCTTGCCGTCGGGGCAAACCCCCCCGTTGACCCAACATGTTGCTTTCCATTCTTCTGCACGAGCAATGGCATAGTCTAATCAGCCTTTCAAGTTCACAGCAGGGAGCCTTGGCTCTCCAGGCACTCGGCAAAAGGCTTTGGAAGTTTAAGCTGGGAAAAACTGCTCACCTGGCCAAGTGTCAGGGGCATGTATGGAGCTTCGAGTCCGGTAGAAAACTCCAGATCCAAAATAGATCAAAATAGCTTAACCACAATCCTTCCGTTCAAGCCCAACAACGCAATGCTGTTCAGCTGAAGAGACTCTCGGCCTTGATGATAACAGAACTCACTTAAGGTTCGCTGTCAATGTGCTGCAATAGCTAGCGAAAATCCCTCCTGCCCAGCCTCCTCTGCTGGCATCCACTCTGCCTGAGCCGGTTTTAAGCACACAGCAGACAGCAGAGCTAGCAGCACAGGTTTTGGGCTTTGGGCATCGGAATTGAACTTGCCACACAAAATGAAGACAACATGCCATGATGAAGTAAAACGAGCATGTGAGATGCCCAGAATTCTGTGACTTTTTAGTTGATTGTCCCTAGTATCCAGTACCGAAGTTGCCTTGATGTCGCGGAGGATGGCCTTATATGTGGCTCAATTACCAAACGTGTCAAGACACCATGTTCTGGCAAAGCACTACCTATGAAATTCTACAAATCCTGTTGAGACAAGGCTCTTCTCCCTCAGGATCCTCAACCTCTTCCACACACCCTGACAAGCTGCATCTTGGGTTCACCCTTGCATACTCTGTGAGGCTGTTACGAGTATGTTGCGGCTTAAAGCGGTGCGTTCATGCGCAGGCAAATAATATATGTTGCGGTGTTGTTGTGTTATGTATGTGACATCTGGGTGTCTTCACTGGAGGGTTAGGATTCCGAAAAGCAGGTCCCAATGGAAGGTCGGCAATGCATCAAACTCACTTTATCTTGATGCAACGCTTTCGTGCTTGGTGGTGTCCGCAAGCAAAGGTAGTGGCAAAATCATCAGCCAACCTTATTCAATAATATACCAAAGTGAAACATTATGAGATTCTACGGCGTTAGTATCCTTCTGCTCCTGCAGTGCACTTCCTGCACATTGCCTTGGCAGCTTTGGCACTCCCGCTTCGCAACACCATAGCCACGGGGAGGCAAGACGCCCCCAGAGACGCCCCGCAGCTTGGGTGCCACACCTCAAGAATCGGGTGAAAAAAGTGATTAAAAAAATAAAAAAGGGAAACTGATGTTTTGTGATCTTCAGCCAAAGTAGAGATTAATCTGTCTCTCGATGTTTGCATGCTACAAACATACATGAAATGGCACTTATGGCCCCAGCAGATCGCGTCACTCTGCACCTGACCAGCATGACTGACATTGTAAATTGTGCTATTTATTGTGCTTTGGTGTCACACGAGAGACTTGAATGGAACATACTTGAGAAATGTGTGTGACACCATTTCTGTGTTCATTGAACTGATCCTCAAGTGGCACTTGTGTCATCATTTGAGCAAACAGCACCAACTCATGGATTGGTGGCCTAAAATGCCTATGATACGTACAACGTACAACCATGCCTCACAATAGCTGTGCAAACAGTTTTACAAATGCCTCATCATTCAGCGCTTTTGCGGATTTCACTTACTTTCTACCAAACTCAGAAAATGTCAGCCCGGCCGGGGCCCGTCCTCAAGAATGAAGTAGGCCCTGCGGCAGAAGTATGGGCTGGGCTGGTTCCTTTGACCTTCCCAGAGATCTGCGGAGCGGACAATCCGAAGATTGATCTTCTCGAAGAGCTTCTTCCAGTCAGACCATGAGTTGAAGGTGCCCTTACTGTCATGGCCTGGCAAGTGCCCACTCACTCCCAAATAAGCAGTACAACTGCACCCTCTTGCTTGAAGTGGTCTCTGGCTTACAGCCATGTTACAATCTGTCTTGCTGAAATTGAATAGATCTTGCCAGAGCAGCACTGGGCTCCGTGCTGATACAGGCGATACATCTCAATACCAATCTGGTCCAACCTAATAGTAATGGCCTCCAACCTAAGAGCGATGGCCTCCGACCTACTAGCGATGGCCTCCAACCTAGCAGCAATGGCCACAATGCCAAATAAATAAACCTCCTGGCTCATCCCAAGGTTGCGATTGGCACCTCGGGTGGCTTTCCAGTGGATGGTCTCCTCGGGTGTGTCCTCGCAAATGGCCACCCAGTGTCGTGAAATCCGTGCAGCCTAGCCGCCAGGCCAACAGGAATGGTATCTCTCAACAAAATGGAAAACTGATACTTGGAGTCATTTTCTGCATTGAGGATCTGACCTCCGAGGAAGAGGCAGGTTTACCATGGTGTCCAACAAGCAAATTGAATTGAATTGTTTATATATACAGTATATATATATATATATAAAGACTCACACCGGTTCCCCGTCTTCTTTTTTGCAGTGCAGACCTAGTTTGTCAAGATAAACAATCAACTGGAGTTAAAACTCGTTCGGTGAAGGGCCCCCATGGCCCGGCTCCCCCCACAATTCCTCGCCAAACCGAGGTAATTGTGAGCCAAAGAGCCTAGGGTAGTCCTGGGCCCCGCCAGACCGGGGTACGTCCAGGCCACTACCCTGCTCATCCCTGATCTTGTGCATTTTTATACCGCCGGCGGTTCAAATTCGGTAAAAAATTGGCTATTTCTTGCCCTTTCCCTGTCCATTTTCCCCTGGCCTGCCCTTCCGGGCACGCTCAAGGGGTTGGAGCTCTAGGTTCTTGGATCTCGTGTACTGGCGTTTGTGCTTGAGAGTTGGTGCGTAGTCGCAATTCTGCTAAAGTGGCAAGTCCTTCGTTTATGTACACCCTGGCCGTCTTTGCAGCCTGCCACCTCCCCAGGAGGAGTAAGCGGTCTAGTGAACCGTATCTTGAAAAATAGCAGGTGGCACCCCCTCGTCTTAGACTGTAGGGGCGAAACTGGTGGTCACTGAGGCCGCAGGCTTCCAAGCAAGCGGCAAACTTCTGACGCCAAGCGTGTGGGGCCTCACACAACATGCTACGGGAGTGTGGTGTGTTCTTCCACTGCCACAGTCTACGAAGAGTGTCTTCCTCTCGGATTGTGATGCTCTCCGCTGCTCCTTGCCTTTTGCCCCCTTTTGTTAACCCCAGGGACAGGACTGCGACACTACGTGGACCCGATTGTTGGCAATGAGCTTTGTGAACCCCCAGCAACTCCCCTGTTCTTAGGAGTCCATGAAAGGCGAGCGTGAGCGAAAGGGCAAAAAGATCATCCTTCTGGAACAAGCTCTGGCCGATCATCATTTCCAGGGCTTCGAGAGGAAGCGGCGGAGCCCGGTTCGGTATCTCGTTGGTTGCCCAAGTTTTCATCAATCTCCACGATGCTGCTAATTTGCCTTTAACTGCTGGAAGATGGTCTTGTACTGAGGCAATCGTATCCGCTGCCAGGGCTCGGCCTTCGCCTCCTTCCCATAGGACCTCGATGTACTGGCTCAACCAATGATCAATGGGACCTGGATCACGAGGGAATTGGCGGTTTTCTTCTTTTAGAAACTGTCGGAACTTTTCGAGTGCACGATCGTAACGTTCACGAGTGGCTGGTTGTACAGTGAGATTCCTCAACGGGCCGAGTATTCGTCGTTGTCGTTGTCGTGTGGCTTTGTCCCTGCCCTCAAGATGGGCAGCTTTGCGTCCTACCATTTCTTCTTTACCGGCCTCCGGGAAGGCCGGTCCGCGGGGTTGTCCCCCGTATGGACATATGCCCATACGGCATGGGAGCCACTGGCCAGGAGCAAAGCGTTCACACGACTCATGGTACGACGAAGTTTGCGGCTGCTGCTTCGCATCTTCCTCATGGTTTGACGTTGTAGGAGGCCGCTGAGAGCTGCTGACCGACCGGGGGCTGTAGCCTGAACTGCTTGCTGTGGTGTAAGGAGAGGACAAAGACCCAGTTGGTAGCCCAATTGGGCCAGCAGCCATGTCACTACAGTGACATTCCATGAGTTACCTATGAGGCTCTTCCGTTCGTCCTCACGCTTGGAACTGCTTGCTCATCCACTGGAGGGTATAGTCTTTTGGAAACCCCATGACGGTCTCCCGTTCTCGGATATTGGGAAGACGATGTCGGCCATTCGAGTCGACGATGGACAATTTCCTCTGATATTGGTATGGCGGGAACCGATAGGCGTCATCCTCCCAGTCCTGCCTCTCCTCTGGCGTGAGCCGCTCTAGTCCTGCTGGCCTCCTACCTGGGTGGCTCCTGGGTCTCGAGGTCGTGAACGTAGGAAAAGACTCTGAGCTAGCCTTCGTGCTGCCCTGTTGTAGGTACTCCTTCGGATCCAGCTCACTGCTGAGCTCTACTTCACGGAAAGCACTGGCCCCTTTGCCTTTGTACGGCCAGATGCGCAACCCCTCCCTGGTAGGAGGTCCCAATCAAACCAGTACAGCCTTGGTCGTCGAGCCAAAGATACTCCTGCAGCATCAATCATTGAAGGATAGTCCCCGAAGTCCTCTGTCATGACTGAGCGATCGGAATCATCCATCGAGGCAACATTCTCAGTGAGATACCTCACCTGGGCCCAGACAAAGTGCTTCTTCAAGAGCTCCTTGATGCGTCGAACGTGGCTGAATAAGCAACTCCGATGGTCTCTCAACGCTCCTCTCCTTTCACTGTTCAGGCCACTCACGCACGCCCTGGGAAGGCGGGCCAGCTCCTAGAATCACAACTGCTGCCTGAGAGAAGCGGCATGCCCAACTTCTAACCATCTCGTCATCCACCGCTTCAACTCCGGCTTCAACGAAGACTGTGGAGGGGAACTTGCTCTCAAGGGTTCGACTGGCCTCCTTCTTGACCTCCATGCTGATGTGGCCTAGAACCGGAAGCTGGCAAGCGTCAGCCGCCACTCGGAGGGCCCCTATACCATCAAAGAGACCCACCGTAAGAACCGCACAGACATCGGAAGGTTCAGGTAGATCTCCTCGGATGGATGCCACTGCAGCTGCTTGCCCGAAACCTGTCAGCCCTGTGCTTACAGTGAGTCCTCCCCCCGTGGTAGAGGCATCGCTGGCAGTGACCTCGGAGCTGATGTCCAGTCTAAAGTCCATCTGGGCCAAGGGTATAAGACACACAAAGCGAGCCACTTCCAGCTTGACCTCACTGGGAATCTCCAGGTGGATGACGGGAGGATAGCCTTTGAACGACTCGATGAACTTCCACAAGGCATTGAGCGAACCCAAGAGCGGTCGGCGAAACATGCTCATGTACACGAGCCCTCCGGCCACCACCTGAGCCTGTTTCACTGAACATCGCTTCTCCCCTACAAGGAGACTGGCCAGTTGGGCGTACTTGAGGATCTTGGCCGGCTTCGGATAAGCTCGCCCGGCAACTCCATCAATGATAGCTCCCTGGACTTCAGCTTTACTTGCCCGGATCGTGGACTTCTTTGGGCGGCGAGGGACTCCCCACCTCTCGTACTCATGACGCAAAGCTAGAATTAGAACGCTCTCACTCAACTCCCCTTGTAGGAGCGCAGTCGTGCGTTTGTCCACTCTTTCCAGCAAGTCAAAGTTATCCAAGTACACACGATGGAGCTCCCGGTGAACTGTGAACGGACGGTCTTTCCGAATCTCCTGATGTGACTGCAAGCCTTCACCAGCGTTGCCACCAGCTCTGCGCACCATTACCCGGCGCACATGTTGTGCCAGGCTGACACTGTTCTTGAATCCCATAGGAAGGACTTGGGACGCCAAATAGTAGGTCCCTTGATCATCAGGACATAGTTCTGGGGGGATAGGTCGATTGAAGGCTAAGAAGGCGGACCATTCACGAGGCACTTTGAAAATATAAAAGAAACGCCTCACGTCTTCTGACGAAATCACTAGGTCCTCACTGGGCATCAACTGCAGTGGTGCCATCGTCGTTGCCCAACTGGGTAGCGTGGCAACGTCTCCTTCTATACCTAACCACCTTATTGCACGGTCGGAGATCCATGATTAGGCGGTGGATGGGTATGCCTTGCTCCTCCTCTCCTTTGGGGACTCCGAGAAGTGGTTGTCCATCTACGTGAAACAGGTCTTGTTCTAGCATGGGGATGCACACACCATTTCCCAGCAGCCCCCGACACACTTCGGCCCAAGCCTCCAAAGCGACGAGAACTCGTGGCGGCTTCATTTGCTGCTGTAGCTCCTCAGGAAGAACATACGATCGGAGGAAGTTCTCGACATGGTGCCGGCACCCTAACTCACACACTTCTGCTAGAGGAACCGAGGTGATCTCTTTGGGCATAGCCGGGGCCAGGTTATCCCACGTGGTGTACTGGGCACACAGAACCTCCTCTCCAGTGTAGTCTACTGTCTTCAACCTGAAGAAATCATGCCAGTTGGTTTCCTCCAAGCGATCTTCCCACGAGGAAACGACTTGCGACTGTGAACGAAGAAACTCCAAAACCCTTCTCTGGTGAACGGTCGGGGGGAAAGGATTCTCAAGTTCAACCCCATACAGGGGGTTCAACCCAACACAAAGGCCCCTAACCAGATCGTCAATCTCAAGCTTGTCGTCCCAAAGCCCGTGGAGAACCTTCACATCGGTGGGCAACGGGAAGATGTCACCCGAGGGCTGGGTCGCGCACTGCAACGGAAATCCCAAGAACGACACTGACTCTTGCAATGTGAAGGTCATCCATGGAGCGAGTCTCGAAAAACTGTCACACATGCACGGCGGCGTCATGCAAACTTTTTCACGCTCGGGTGGGGTCTGCCGGGACATCAGGACTCAAAGGTCGTCCTTCGGCAGATGTATCCAGCGCATCATCACCTTCGGGGTGCTCCGATCCGCTGAGTTGGGAAAATTGCGGCCTCACGCTAACCAAGCTGTCGGCCTTCTCATAGCCCGAGTTCATAGGCGGTGTGGCCCCTTCTTTTACTTCTCTGCCCGTGTCCCTTCGCCTTTCTCTTTCCTTCTTGTTCTTTCCTTTGGCTTCTCGACCTTTTCCTGTCGTCCTCTCTCCAAGATGAAGTCCCTGAATCTCCTTTTCCTTTTGGCCTGGCGGCCTCGCTTCTGGTCTTCTGTTCTTCGCGGTTCTCTCGAATTGCCTCCCTCATCTCTGGCCGGGAGCTCAACACTGGTTTCTCTGGCGGGACAAGTTCCACCTTCTGTCCAGCTCCGCTCATTTCTAAACTCTTGAGTCTTTGGGTCAACGTGTCGCAAGCCTCCGACACCCTCCCCTGAAGTGGGAGGTCCAACGTCCATGCCACTTCTCGGGCCTGTCCTCCTTGAAGCCGCTGTTGCACGCGCTGCCGCTATAGTATTGACACGCGATCGGAGGGATGACCCCCTCCTCGGGGTTCCACACTCCCCCCGTCCCCGTCAAGAGGGAATGCTGGATGTCGCGGAAGGCAGCACATGTCAAAGCGCCCGGCGCGGCGCGCCCCATCCTGCGGATCTTCTGATCCTCCGCAAACAACTCCACGCTCTTCTCGCTGCTGTCCTCGCTCCTTGTTCCTGAGCTGCTGCTGGATGATGTGTCTCTCCCACGCCCCCAAATACTGCCTTCAATTCTTTCTTGGCCTCCCCTCTCAAGGAGATCTTCTTCTTCTCTCTGCCTCCCTTTGAGCTGCTGGCGCTGCTCTTCCGCCTCCTTCGCTTTCGACTGCGATCCTTCTCCTTGCTTCTCCCTCGGCCTTTGTCTTTCTTTTTCTCCTTCTCTTCTTTCCTCCCCTTCTCTGCAGGAGGCTTCACTGGGTGACTGGGTCCTCTAATTCATCATCCACGGCAGATCTTCTCCTGTCCGGGCCCGGATGAACTCGCCGTGGAGGTAGTTGTCTGCTTCGAGGGGGCCTGTGCACCTCGTTCCGCACAGATGGATCCTCATCAATTTGTCTTCGGACCCCGAGGCCCACTTCAGGATGGATTCCAGGTTGGTCCCCTGAATGGCCACTTCGAGCTCGACGTCCCCTTTGCTCCGGACATGAACGCCCTGAACCAACCCTGAAATTCCTCCACTCTGGCCCCAGTAGACTCCGCTGGCCTCGATAGGGAGCCTCCTCCTCAGGACCTCGATGGGCACCTGATGGCACGGCGCTCTTCCTCCCCTTAATCTAGGAGGGTCCAAAGCTGCTGCTGGTCTTCTAGCCGGTGGCATTGAAGATCGTCTCACCTCTCTTCAGGCTAGCGCCCAAAGTAATACTGCCTCTCCTTCTTTCCTCTGCCCTTATTTTGCCCCCAATACTGGGGTTCTCTTTGCCAAGTTCTGATAGGTCCAGACCACTGCCTTCCTTGAGGTCGAGCAACCGGCGACGGTGGCCCCGTCCTTCGCTCCCGTGCGGGAGATCTGGAAGGTGTAGTGGGCGGCTTGACGGTTGGCTTCGCCTTCTTCCCTTTGCCTCGGTCTTCACTTTCCGCTTTCTTCTCTTTCTTGCCAGTCCTTGGACTTGAAGTCTTGTCCCGACGTCTCCTGTGCCTGGACCGACTCCTGGATCTTGGTCTCCTCTGTCTGCTGTTGCTCCTCCTCTTCGACTTGTCGCGTTTCTCCTTCTCCGGCTTTGATGCACTGGAAGTCCTTCCTTCCTCGGTACCTTCAATGTCAACTACTCCTCTAGGAGAAGGCTTCTCCCCTGACCTTGGCCCCTCTCTCTTCGGGCTGATCCACCGCTTATGGGGCTTGTCGTCCTTCTCCTGGCCACTCCCCTCTCTAGGAGTACTGGCGCTCTTTGAGGCTGGCGCACTCTTAGGAGCTGTGGTGCTTTCGGCCGCTTCACAGGCCTCCCGGGCTTCCTCAAGCTTCTCGCACTCCTCTTCAACCACGCCAGTCCAAATCCGAAGATTTGTAAGTGCCCAGCCTCTGGCGACAACCGGAAGACGATCTAGGCTGTGCCAAAACCTGTTGCGAGCTCTGCAGAAAACGCAAGTACCCTCAACCTCTGCGGTTTGTATCTCGCAGAGGCGACAGGGTTGCATCCACTCTGCTCTGAGCCCAAACCCTACGAAAGAAGACATCCCCCTAAGTTCGTCTTAACCTACGAGGACGTGGGATCATGTGGATTGAACCTGAAACGTACAAGAGAGCAATAATAAAGGTGTCCAATGTCAGCTAGTTCAACCTGCGTGACCACTAGACCAGCAAAGGTGCCACAGCACGGTGCTGCTGCGGCTGCGCAGTCGTCTCTTCACGTCACTTCCATGTAAGAAAAGATGCACCTATTAGCGATGCCTCCAACCCAACAGCGATGGCCTCCAACCCAATAGCGATACATGTAGGCAAAAACAGTCTTCACTGCTCCGATACACTCCAAAGCCTCCATTAAGAGGGCCCGCTGCACTTCGAAGTGTCGGCAGTGGTGGAGAACGAAAGAAAAAATCACACCTCAATCCCACACAAAGTCGCATCGGTAGTGAAGTACAGTGAAGTTGCTTTCGACATCACAACAAGTCCCCACAAGTAACCACACAAGCATAGAATATGACAAACAAAACTTGTAATTCCCCCTTTTAAGCGGCCTTACCATCCTTTTTCATTTCTTGTGTTCTTATTTTATCTTCTTTCAAGATCTCCGTGGATTTCTGCTCGCTTGCAACCGCAGCGGCCATAAACATTCGTGAACCACCTTGTTCCTTGTCAAGAAGCAGTCAACGCTCTTGTCTTCCAGCGGCAGTGTTCGTCCGTCAAATTCTTGTACTTCAAACTCCGGTGTCTCTGGCCGCACAACGTCCAAGGCAATGGCCTGTGGAAACTGAGTGGTCTTCATCATGCACTGGGAATGAATGGTCCATAGAAAACACTCTTGGGCCACGCTTGTTGTTTAGGTTCTTCATAGTACAACAAGCTGACACTGTACTCCTGGAACCTCTAAACATCTCCCTTGCCCAAAAGTGCATTCCTTGAGGCGATAGATTCATGCGAAAAGGCCCTAGTAGCTTCTTGCTCTAGTAGTAAGGCCAGGAGCCCCTAGTAGCGTCCTTGCTCCTAGTAGCGATGCCCTTTGCTCCTAGTAGCGTCCCGTGGAAGGCTGCGAAACAGAACTCCGAGTTTCAAAGTAAGTACCCGATGTTGTACGATCAACTTGCTCGCTGAAGAGACAAGGCCTACCATTTGTGACTTATGATGAGTCAACTTGCCCCCACGGGGCCTTTCCATTTCTGTCTAACTCAGGGTCTATCTTCGAAAACAAACAAACAAACAAACAAACAAACAAACAAACAAACAAACAGCAAGGCAAAATATGACGATGTATCATGAATTGACATATGACTCATGACGTGATATACAAGCTTCTTTGCTCACTACCAACAGCACCCAATCACCAAATTAAGAAGCCTCGAAGTTCCAGTGCGTTAGCCATGAGGCCATTCGCCCTGTGCCGGCGCCCACATCCACCACTCGTCTGAAGCGCGGATCCCTGCGGTACCTGTCTTGTTCTTAAAGGAATGGAACTCACTTGACATACATGGCGAAGTGAGTGCATAAAGAATCTCTGCACACAAATGCTCTTTTCAAGGGTGGCCTTGTCTTCCGCAATTTTCTGGGCGAGGTCATGAATTGTGATCAGCGATCAAATCGATTTCAGTAGGTTGGTCATTTGGAGAGACTCCTTTCTTAGACAGGATTCCACCATCGCGCTCAAAACAAAGCATGGCCTGGTGTGGAGCTGGAACAGCATAGGTCCGGCCATCCTTGCAGGCTCGACTCGCGTCCACTCTGAGTCTGAGCAAGGCTTGGACACGGCTATGAACACATCATCACATGGGCCCCGGAAACAAAAAACAAACAAACAATCAATCAAATGTGCCTCCGGCGGCAATGGTCTTAGCCATGTTGGTGAACCTCCACCCGTCTAGCTTTATTCACTGTTGCAACCGAACCTGTCGGAAACACATCGAAGAGGTTCTTGAGAGGGGCGGGGTGTTCATGCTTCACAGTGCCATGCCAATTTCAAAGATGCCCCACTGAGTGCTGCCGTATCAATATGTTGGATGAAACTTGAACCGTTGAAAAACCGGAGCACCAACACAAACAACAACCAAAACAACAAGTCAAAGTCATCACTTGAGCCAAAAGTACAAGTTGTTCATGAACTGTGCTTACATATGAGGTGTACTGTACACAGGAAACTTCAAGTCCCCCCTCATAGTGTGATGAACAACTGTACAGCTAGTATTCCAGGCCTGAGACAGTCGCTTCATTGATTGAGCCGTCTGTGACCTGACAATTCCTATCGAAAGACTGCAAACTAATATTACAGGCTTACGAACGGCTTTAAGGAGCGGCGCTTAGAGCAGCCAGTCATCCTTCATGCAAGCTTGGCGCTATGCTCGGCAATAGCACTGTGCGGCATGCATTGTCCGGACTTTCATTCAAGGCAGATCAAACTTAGTTTGGAACTGCGGCTGGTTATCGCTTAGCTCTAACCATTTCATTCTTTGCAGATCTAGCTTAGCGTCGAACTGCGGCAGACCATCGCTTAACTCTAGTCATGCGAGCTCCTGCCTGCGTCATAAGACGGGAGCGGACTCAGGGAGAACTGCAACAACTCCTTGGCATTTCCCCATTTGGCTAACGGCAAACCTTTTGTAAACACGTCACCCTTTTGCTGAGTCGTTTCGATATGCTGGACTGTGATGTCATCAGCATTATTTACCGTTTCGGCAGTTGAGGCCACGTGGATGCGGTGGGTTTTACTCAAATGCCTCAATTTGCTGGAGTAACCTTTCAGAATGATCGAGACCACGGCCGTATTGTCTTCGAAAATCTTTAGGGTCATCCCGGGGATCATCTCTTGCCAGATCTGCAATGTAGGTATTGCCTCTGAAAAGAGAGCTGTGGATAGCGAAACAAACTCGCTCTCCGTAGTTGATCTAGAAACAACGCTTTGCCTCTTTGTGCCCCAACTCACCGGAGCAAAGCTGGAGGGACCCGACACAGCAAGCACGAATCCAGAGGTTGAGCGCATTGAACTGATATCGCCACCGAAATCAGCATCGCAATACAAGGAGAGATTCAACTGCTCCGGCGGATCACGAATGCACATCACGGGGGAGTACTGATGGGACTTTTGTAAGTACCCAATGAGTCGTGCGACTCCTTTATCGTCGTTGGCCGACCACACCGTAATGTGTTTCGCCAACAGAGTGACAGCGAATGTGACGTCTGGTCTGCTAATGCGACAAAGCCACATCAACTTCATTATTAATTTGGCCGAATGTGGCGAGAGCTGCCCCTTGGGCTCCATCGTCCCATGAGGGTGAGGAATACGCCTTCACCGGCGTTTTCGCCAGCTCTTCAGTTTTGCGAAGTCTGATGATTCTAAGGCCACTGCTTTGCTCCCTTGAAACCACACAAGCCTATGGTTTCGTCCTAAGACTCTACCATATTCTGACGGTGGATCTAAATTTATATACTGCTTAAGGGTTTTCCAGAATCCTTCGTGCTCGGAAGCCTTGCCTGAGAGAGTGAGGTCGTCTACATAGACGCTCATCATCAAAGAACGACCGAACCGGAAGACCGAAGGCATCTCGCTAAACTCGACACCGTTGAGTTTGTCTTGCAAGATTCTGGAAAGATGCGCCTGCCAGTGCGCAGACGACTCTGGATGGCCATAGAGGCTTTTGTACAATTGGGCGCAGGGCTGCTGGATGTGCCTTTTGGAAGGCGGGACTAGCTCTGGGGGGTAGCATCCCAAACGTTCTGTGTGTTGTGGCGAGTGCAGATTGTATATAAGCACGCACACAGTCGGACGTGGTGCAGCTATTTCCCTCTATCATCGAAAATGCGATGACGGCATTCAAGGCCGAGATGGAACTCGGTGCGGACGAAGCCAAGTCTTGAAAAATCGCGCTCATCCGGGCCTTCAGTTTCCAGTCAGCTGGGGACTTTTCGTACCCCTTCACACTGACAATGACCATCAAGGCACCGAAGTGTAAAGTCTCACCGGGGAATTCACGAATCACGTCCGCCTTGGCTCTGATCTCGCTCTCAATCCAAGTCCCCTCAGATACTAATCCATCTTTCTCACTTTGTATGGCAACATACACTTCTGCTCTGCCCTTCCATTCGTCGCGCTCTAACCGGTGGACATAAGCTGGCGTCACAAAAACTTTGCAACCGCTTTCGTGCATGATAACGTCGATTGGGGCGCGTGGCATTCCCTTAACACGATGCTGCCGATGTGCGTGGTTAGCACGAGGTGTACATGGCATGCAAAACACATGAGCGTTGATAACATGTGGGAACAAGGCATGCAACATGATTTGACACAGCGGCCCAGGATAGAAGGCTGAATTTCGAGTGTACTTCCCTTCAAGGGGTGCATGCTTGTCATGCGTGCACTTCAGCATTCCCAAAGAGTCAGCCAACCTCTTATTGTTTGTGACAAACCTCCACGGCTTTCGAGCGTGGCAGTGATTCCTACGGTGCAGCCATAGACAGCAGTTACCTTTCTGTGATCCAGGAAGCTAGGGGTTCACTCATCCACCCTGAACAATACCTTGGCCACTCAAAAGACACAAAACCACCATTATCAAGAACATGATTTGCAACCCTGATGAACGAATGCCTCATTGAAACACTTTCCCTACGCTTTTCTCGAAGGATGTTGGACAATCTTAAGTTCTTTGCTTCATTCAACCTTTGCCAAGCACTCCAGGGACCACATTCAATGGAACCATGGATTGAACAACCAGGGATGGCCTTCACTTGCTCAACAAGTTGGTCGATGTTCACCTTACTTGCAAGATCTATGTGTTCCCTACAAAGCCTTACAACTTGAATCCCAAGCTCTTCACCAATCCTACCGAGCGCTGAATCTGAGGCACAGGCAAATTCAAACAAAATCTTGCCACCTGGGGAATTGTGGATCTGACTGCGCAGACGCTCAGGCTTTACAGCTGCTCCAAGACAGCTTTCATTGCTTGCAGCGACTGCTGATGCATACGTTTCTTGCACAATCGTTTCTGGAGCTTTCTTGGAAATGGCATCATGAGACATGGCAAGGACGGCATTTATGCCTGCATGAACACGAGCTTCATCACCCTCAGGTTCATCTTCATTGTCAGAGGGCGGAGGACATTCAGGGACTTCCTCTTCTTCATCCTCTTCAGCCTCCGACAAAACCGTTGGGGTGTACTCTTCATCAATCAAGTCTCCTAGGATCTCCGGCATTTCGAAGGTCGGAGGGTCAGGTGCTGGGGTCGAAGGAGCAGCACCGAATGCTTCCTCATACCGGGCAATGCGTTCGGCATTGTGCGCAGACGAATCAGCATCACAACCTTTGCAACCCTTAGTCGGACCGATCTTCAACATCCTACTGTACGTGATATAAACCCTGCGTGCTTTAGACTTAGTCTCTGGGGTATCCTCGATGAAAGGAACTGGCAGGGGATCCACGTCAGCGAGTTGACGAACATCAGGATCCGAGAAGTCATTCAATGCCTTCTCTGCAAGATCTCTCAAAGGAAACACGCGCTCATCACGAACATAAACCTCTTGATCCGGGGCGACCACAATGGAAACATGACCTTGCTTCAAGGAGTTGTAATCCACAAGTCTCAAAACACCTTTGTACCGACACCCAAACTCAAGCTTCCAACCTCTTAGGGCTGGTGAAGAATTGGGGGCGAGTTTTGACTTCTCTTGAAACTTTGATCTATAGAAAACCAACTGACCCAGAATGTAGTCTGCACCTTTGAACTCAGAACCAAAAGCCTTTGACCAATGCTCAATGCTCATGGAAACGGCTGTGTACTGACATGTCAAGGTCCAAAGCTTTGGAAACACAGCGAATCCTGCTTGTAAGTGCATGCTTCTGCAAGACTCTTCAAAGGACCTGATTTGTCTTTCAAGTACACTGTTGTGAGGCCATCTCCTAGGCAAAGACGCGTCTGACAGCCAACCGAGTGAACGAATGGCCTTCAGAAGCTCCTTGGCACAGTCTGACTTACAAATGGTTTTAGGGTTCTTGGCTTTTACACCCACAAAATGGTTCAGGGCTTCCTTGACCGAATCAGTATCTTTTGTCGCCAGGGGGTATGCTTGGAAAACTTTGCTGCGCAAGTCCATCACCACAAGAACAACAAATTCCTTCCCCGACGAAGATTTTGAGACGATCATGTGATCACATGCAACTTGCTGGCCGAACGCTTCGGGAACAGGAAGATCACTCTCTTCATCTGCTCTACGATGAGATCTGATGCGTTTTGAGTACAACCTAGCACGATTGCAAACATCACAAAGTGCGGATTTAGGGAAATGTGTCACGCAATGCTTGGTGCACAATGCAAGTTCCCGTTCACGCACGAACTTGTCAGACTCAGGGACCTTTGGCAAAGCCTCACCTGGAGCAACGCCACGAACGTCGTCTGCAACTGAATGCGAAATCACACCTTCAGGAGACCGGACCTCGGGTTCTGCTTCAACAGGTTCCACCTCACCTGGTACACCTGGAATGAAATCAAATGATCTTGAAAAATATGGTACATATTGATCAACCCTCGATGCTCGAATCAGATTGCTTTCATCCGTTTGGAATTGGAATTGATTACAGTCTTTTATATAGCATGGGAGTTGATTGGGCAACCACAAAAACCCCATGCCATTGCTGACATCAAGACCAACAGACCGGACAAACGGGCATGAGTCAAGCACGAAGTGATTTTCTTCTTGAAAGATTCCTTCACGA